AGACAAGGAATTCATGTATATTTAAAAGTTAAATTCTCAGTAGGAAAGGGGGGGGGGGCAATGTATACAAACAATTCGTCAAGTGCCTGTGATCTTGTCTACTACTCAACTGTAACGCAAATCCTAAAAACCTTGCCCTTCAAACAGTATTGCGGCTAAAACCCAAACTGACAAACTAATATACAATATAAATTTGAAATAAAACCAAGAAATTCGTGAGTCGTTTTATGTTTAATAAAACTGTAAACTGGTCATGTAAAATGTCGCTCACATGGCGTCGCATATTGATTGGGTTCAATACCATCTTAAATTTAATGTCCATATTTTCCTCAATTTCGGGTACTTAGGAAATAAATATATACTCATATCTTGTTTTAATTTATTGGTACAGTTAAAAGCGCACATCGATGGCAACATATCGCCAACAATAATGTTCCAAACCCGGCAATAAAGTTTGTACTTTCTATTTCTCCTCTCTTATGACGTCACGCATAAAGGGAGAGAAGCGATTTACAATAAAAGGTCCACTTGTCACACAGGTAAATTTAGGCGACGATTAGTGATGGGAATTGGTGACAAAAAAATAAACAGACTATATAATGTTATTCATATTGTTCCAAAGGCTGATAATGATGAATAATTATGAATTTTAAAAAATATATTATACTTGACCTTTAACCTTGGTCATAACTTTTGAACAGTTGGTGCTTGGGCTTTCAAACCTCACCTGTGCATTCCATGTGACAAGGCCTTCCTTTAGATAGCACTTTGACCCTTTGACCTTGGAGTTGACCTACTTTTGAAAAACTTTATCCTTGGCTATAACATTTGAACAGTTGGTGTCAGGGGGTTCATACTTCACATGTATATTCCTTGTGACAAGACCTTCCTTTGGATACCAACGATTTTGGCATTGACCCTGACTTTGGAGTGTGACCTACTTTTAAAAAACTTTATCCTTGGCCATAAAATTTAAACGTTTGGTTCCAAGGCTTTCACATTTCATGAACATGTGTATCTCTTGTGACAAGATCTTCCCTTGAGCACCATTTGATCTTGACCTTGACGTTTTACTTACTTTTAAAGACTTTAAACTTCGCTATTACTTTCAACGGTTGGTGCTAGGGTTTCATATTTCACAGGTATATTCCTCGAAAGAAAACATTTCTTTGGATACCAACATTTTTGATCTCTTGTCCTGAGGTTTGACTTGCATTTGAGACCCTTTGCCATAAGCTGCCATACGGGGGCATCAGTGTTTCACAAACAAATCTTGTTTTTTAAATAAGTGGACCTATTGTGTAATGTGACTGTCTCTTACTGTCTCTTTGTATAACATAACGTACCATAGCAAAGCATGTCGTTACTTTTTTTAGGTCACCTGAGTTACTCAGGTGACCTATTGCTATCTCTTTTCGTCCGTCGTCGTTCGTCGGTCGTAAACTTTTGAACATTTTCAGCTTCTTCTCTGGAACCAGTGAACCAATATCAACCAATTTTGGCACATAGCATCTATGGGTGAAGGGGAGCAACGAGGCCTGAGGGGTGGGGCCAAAACGATCAAAATTAATGCAATCTTTAAACATCTTCTTCTTTACTCCTGGACATCATGCAGTCAAACTGTTGGCATTATTGTATTAAGCATTGTGTCTTCTACTTAAATTTTGAAATTCATGGCCCCTGTGTCAGGGGTTCTGGTGCTAGGGCGCGGCTCTGTTGACTATATAGTGATAATGCATCATTCCTTAAAAAATCTCCTCTGCTCCTGGATATTCAGCAAACAATCTAAATGCATAGTTATGATGAGCAAGTGTGTCTCTTCCAAAATTGTGAATTTCATGGCCCCTGGGTCAAGTGTTCTGGTGCTAGGGCGGGGCTCTATTGATTATATAGTGAAAATGCATTATTCCTTAAAAAATCTTCTCCTCTGCTCCTGGGTATTAAACAAACTGAGTACACAGTTATGATGAGCAAGGATGCCTCTTCCAAAAATTGTGAATTTCATGACCCCTGTGTCAGGGTTCTGGTGTAAGGGCGGGGCTCTATCGATTATATAGTGAAAATGCATTAATTCTTTGAAAATCTTCTTCTCTGCTCCTGTGTATTAAACAAACTTATTGAGTACATAGTTATGATGAGCAAAGATGCCTCTTTCAAAATTGTGAATTTTATGACCACTGGGTCAGGGGTTCTGGTGTTAGGGCATTGTACTGCCTGTGAAATTTTTCTCTGCTTCTGGGCATATCGGAGGCAAATTGAGTAAAAGTTTTAATAAGCAAGGGCATTTTTACCAGATTTTTGAACATCCGGACCATTTGGTTAAGCGTTCTGGTCCTCGGCAGAGCTCTATTAATTTGTATTCTAGTGAGAGAAGTTATTCCCCTTTTCCATTCACCTTTGATAATTAATCACTGTAAATAATGCACTTGAAAGGTTAATAGAATAAGATGATTATGCAAGAATTTTTATTGTATAATACAAAGAGTACTTCTTACATGTAGTTTTAATGATCAGGTCGACCTGTAAATAATAGATAAATAAAAATGAGACAAAAATAACTTATCTTATTAAATGTTCTTCAAAGACCATGAGAGGTCAATGTAAGAGGTTTTAGTATGGTAATAGTACAGAAGCATTAACAGTTTGTTGATAGTCTGATTGGTGATAGTGATTAGTGGGGGGCAAATTAGAACTTTATTTATGAGTTTATACTGAATACTAGACTAATTATTTTGTTGATCCTGATCTTTCTACTTCTCTTCCTTTTGGGCAACAAAGCTTCATCTATCATTTTTTAAATACTCTATGGATCCTCTAAAATGTTGTTTTATACTCAGATGACCGTTAAGGCCCTTGGGCCTCTTGTTTTATTTATAAATATATATTTTATACAAAAAAGAAGAAATTCGACACGAAATTTTTGAGATGAAAAAGAAAAAAAGAAGCAAAGCAATAAATGAATAAATAACAACACATAAACAACTTTTCCAAACCCGAAAACTTATTAGGGGAATGTAAGACAAGTCGCTTTCCTTCATATACACATATGTGTTTAAGACTTTCCTCACCAATGTTCAACGGACTACGTGTTTTTACGGGGGAGTGTCCAAGGTCAACTATATAATAACTGGAAATCCCAGGAGAGTATCCTCTATCTCCCTAGTCATGCATGTAATAGCAATCCAAATCATTCCATAGAACAGAAATTGTATGGCATAGCAATGTAAAAGTTCAGCATATAAAGACTGTAGTATTAAAGGAAAAACATGTTTTTAAGATTTAAACTAGAGTACAATGATTAAAAAATTGTCTTTGTACTTTACAGGAAATATCATGTTTTAATAAATGTGATGTTTATTTAGAACGAATGAATTATCTCATCTTTTTTTTCAAGATCCTTGAATGTTTTTATTTTGCTTTACTTTCCTTAAGAATGGGTACCGGTATAAGGTCGACTATTGGCTTTTATTATAAACAACGAGACAAGATAAAGGATTTGGGCAGCGAAATGAAGATTCTGCAATTCCAGGTTAACTCATATTATCGAAAGACTGAAAAATTGATATAGGCACACTATTTTTTATTTTGTGTTTAAAAATAAAGTTGACTCACAGACTTTTGCTTACTATCATTTTTTATGGTGCTTCAAATATTATTTGTAAAATCGTTAAATGTTCATTTGTCTAAAGCGTATATTGTAAAATAACAATTTCAATTCCTGTATTCATTTTGCGGTTGTTTGTAATTACAATTGGGCTTAATTTTTATGGATTAGTTACGTAGACTGAAAATACTGAATAAGTTTTTAATAAAAGACACTCTTCAGTTCGATTTTAACTCGACAGGTCAATTTTATAGGTGAGCAAGTCCTTATTACATGTACGCGTGTGAACAGGAATTTTAAATCGATGACTAGGTTGTTCAACAAACAGTGGGTATTTTTTTTGTTTTTTTTTTGTTGTTGTTGTTGTACATAAGTTGTCATGACCAAATCTGCCCTTGAATGCAATATTATTTTGCTTTACTTTATGAGTAAGAGTTTCGATAAATATGTTTTTATTGCTGTAAAAATAGGAAAAAACGAATTGAACAAAGGGGCTCTTCTATATTACATTTTTTCTGTAAAACTTTTCAGAGAACTCTGAGTCTGTAGAAATTTTTGGGGATGGAGTTGGGAGTGGGGTGGCATCTATCATGAAGATCAAATGCCATTAGAGGAATTCTATTCATCTAATGAGTAAGCTGAATGATTTTTCTTATTGTTGGCGTTCGCTTCGTGATCGAATGGCCCGGGTTCGATTCTCGTTCGCGTCAAACCTAAGACTTAAACGTACATGTAGATAGTGACTGTTCCTTCGACAAGCGCAAGCGCTAGAAGTGAAAGTCACGGGTCTTTCCCGGATGATACCTTATAAACCGAGGTTCTGTGTCACAGTAGGCGTTGACACAATAAAGAATCCTCACTGCTCAATGTCCCTAATTGCCGAGTATAGGTCTATATTTGAAGCCTTCACCGGTATATGGTGACGTCTTTATATAGGTGAAAAATTCTAGAATGGGCGTATAACAACATCAACCAATCCTCTCATTATTGCTATGTATCTGGTCAGTTTGCTGATTTATTAAGCCTTATTCATTTTTTTTTTTACATACTTCAAAGGACTTCCACCTTTACAACAATTGGGGAATTTTGGTAAACCAAGTTTGACACTGGTCAAAGATTTTCTGCTCCATTTAGTTCCTGAAATGGAAGAACATTTCAATTTTTTCAATGATTTTTCCCAATTACTTTTGGATCAAAACAATAACAATTTGAAATGAATATAAGTGCTTTTTAAGGTGGAGATATTTCGCATCGGCTGAAAAAAGAATCACTGATACTTCAATTTCCATCTAAGAATATGATAGGTTATACGACCTTTGTTGTTTTTCTCCTGACATTTATTACACATAAAACATTATTAGTGTCATGAAAACACTGAGTCTCAATCTAATTACAGTGCTACAGTACAGGGGTCGAAATCGAGAAAAACAACTGTTATAAAGAGTTAGCAGGAAATTACTCTGGAATTGTGGGATATGTGGGAGAGATAATTCGCGCCTTAAATTTTCCAGAACGTGTGAAGGTATATTTTCTGTAATGTCATTGACATGTTTATTAGAAGGATGCAATATGGATGAGATAAGTTGATGAGCGTCGGTCAGTAACGATTATTGATCTTTGTATTCCTGATACCCTCCTTGATAACAAAGGAAACTTAAATAGTGCTACACTTTGAGAAATGTAACTTTCATAAGATGATTAAAATGAAATATTTTTCAGGCTTGAAAATTAAATGATAAACAAATTATTTATATAAATCTATAACACAATTTTATTTCATTTTTTTTTTGTTTTAGATGTATTTGGATATTTATAATGCCATACTATCAGTAACTGCAGAGAATGGTCAATATGTGAGTAATTTAATTAGTAACACTTTGATATTCAAAAATATAAGCAGACAAAAAGGAATATACAATAACTTTTCTACTATGTACATCTTCTTTGTAGGCAAGCGTTTCTCATATTATGAACATTTCGTCCGTATTAGAAGCTGTTGAACATGACTTGACATCGAGTTCCTTCTTGGACGATGTATATATTGAAGAAAGAGAAAACATAGGTATATATGCGGAAAATGTTCCTTTTATAACCACCCACACCAGTTTTAGCTAGTTAGGAATCTATTACAATAAATTCAAATCGTCTCAGGAGTCACCAAGTCTTAATATTTTGTTGATCAGTGTTTAACACTCAAGTATTCCATCTTATTAGATTTTTGTTTCATTAACTTTTATTATGAGGAACATATTTACTATAAAGATAAATAATTGAAACAAATATGACACTTTCAAAGTAGAAAAAAGAATTTTGTTATTTGAAGTAAAATTGAAACTTAATAAAAGTGACAAATTATCTTGGGTGCTTTTAGAATGAATAAATAATTTAGGACAGTTTCGTGCAATATTGCCAAATTAACAATTTGGTTGTTATGTTCCAGAGTTGCGAATAAAAACGAATGCCTGGAAGATGGGTTCCAATATCAGACTCGGTGGGAACAAGCCAACTCAATTATTTTCAAAAGGTCATGTAGGAAATGCTGATTTTTTTGAAAACATCTTGATTAATGGTTCTCCCGAAGGTATACAAAATATATTGAAAATTAAAATACATACGTCAATACACAAAGCATCTATTATTCAACATGCTACGAAATATTACGAGAAATATTAATTGAGTTTTAATTTCTATCGATGATAATTGTTGATTAAAATAAATTTTACATGATTTTCATCATAAAAAGATTATAGCTTTAAATGAGGAGCTCTTTAGTTTCACGGAAATAAATTTCAACTGAACGCCAGGTAGAGAGCAGTGGGAACTCTTTACAAACATGATATGTGTTTCAATAAATAGTTCTTCATTTGAATATAATTACTTGTATTTACTGATATCATTTTCAAACGCAACTTTTATATTGGATGTGTAATATAGCGTTACTTTTATTTACCTTGACTTTAATTTCGTTTATTACATACAGCTAACATTACGATAATTGTGATTATTATTGACAAGAATCTGATGGAAAACAGAACGACAGGGTAACTATAACCATGCCTTTTGTATAAAAATTTGATACCTTATCAATAAATAATGTTCAGAAAGTTATACTTATAGATTGCTCTTTTTAAACACATGAAGAAAACAAGACAAGAAAACAAGACAACAGTTAAGTACAATGTAAAATTAAGTCTGAAATAACATATGGTAAGGTTTAATTCATAAAAAATTAGAATTTGTTCAGTCATCTGAGACAGGGTACCGTAAATATCTGTCTATAACTGTAAATTCACATATTTAATTTCATGGTGTCAAATTTTCGTGGTTTGAAGAAAAAATATTCGTTCATGAGTATCATATTTCGTGGATGAAGAATTGTTCAGTAGTTTTGTATATGGCATTTTACATTTCGTGGTGGACACGAATTAGTGTGTTTCTTCAAACCTTGAAAACAAAGACAATTCAATCCACACGAAAATAAGTGATTTAACTGTATTTTTCCCAGGACTATCACAGATGACGTAATAAGGATAAGTCCCGTGTTGTCCCTGTCTGCTTTTAAGGAGGGGGATTATATCAGTCTGGAACATACATTCACACTGCAACATTATGCTTCGATCATTCAGGTGAATGCAGACAAGTATGATTAAATTTACATAAAAATAATCATTAATTTCATTAAGTAGACACTTTCTTTTTGCAAAAACGCGGGAACAATTCTTTGAAAAATTTTATTTGACCGTATTACAATTTTTAGCTTGAGAAGGGATTTGACTTTTCATTGCAAATTACTATATAGACATATTCCCTTTATTATTTTTTTTTCTTTTCGTTTGTTTGTTTGCTTTTATTGTTTTGTTTATTTTTTTCATTTATAAATTAAAGAGTTTAATGGATGAACACTTTTATGTAGGATGGCTACCTGGAAAATGGCACTGTAAAATGTGGCTTTATAGACAAGCAAACAAGGTGGGTTCATTAAATAAGGACATAAAATTACATGTATTGTAATTGATTATCAATCGAATCTGTGCTAAGTTTATTTACATTTTTCTACCTTTCAATACTTACAAAATTGACAACGCATATCATCTTTAGATACCTTTGTAACCACAGGTCATGGTCTTATGACGGATGTGTCGTATTACTCACATCTTTATGGAATACAACATGCTTCTGTAATCATACGACAAATTTTGCAATACTTATGCAAATAAAGGATTTCAAGGTAAAAATAAAGTGGTGTTAGGATGGTAAGTTTTTTTTGTCACCTGAATCCTCCTTGTGACCATCTCTTTTGCTATCGTGTTATCTGTTAGGGTTTTTTTTTCGTCATAGTTCGTCGTTCTCGTAATTTTTTTTAACATTTTCACCTTCTTCTCTAGAACCGCTGAACCAATCTCACCAATTTTGGTATATAGCATCAATTATTACATAATGAAGAAAAAATTTGTGAATTTCATGGTATCCGCTCCACTTGGGATTGAGGGCTAAAACCATAAAAATTAATACTGTATACAGGGAAAATTTCGCCCCCGTTTTATCTCGCCCCTTTCAACCTACTCACGGATGAGCGAATTTAAAACGGTGCAAATTCAAAAAACACAGTATAATTTCTTTAACAGAACTGTGAGTGGGCGAATTTGAAACGGGGCAGCATGACCGTTAATTAAAGGCCCTTTGGCCTCTTCTTAATTTATCTTGAGAAATGGTTGTATAAAGTGTAGAAAAGTCATACATTTTGTTTCTTTGTCCTTATTTATCGGACAAAATGGGAATGAGATGTGTTGAGAACATAAATTTAGCGCAGAATACCCCTGAAACTGTACGATTTCCAAGCAAAACCGATGAACCTGAATCCATTACCACAATATCTCTATTTCTACGAAAAGAGACATTTTCAAGAACTTGTAAATGGCTATTGTCAAGAAAATCCAGCTTTATTACCCGCACAATATTCCTCTTTTCATACTAGTACTTTTTATTTTCATAACTTCCATGCTTCCACATAAGAATGGTTGTGATTTAATGAAATACAAACAGAAAAAATACTGATGAATCTGCATTACATGGCTCCACGAACATTTTCCCTCAATCTTTTTTTTTTTTTTAGGTTGAAAGCATCCATGCTTTGGCCCTCAACATAATAACATATATTGGGTGCACTGTATCACTGGTCACTCAGGTGATAGCCATCACAGTGTTTTCCTGTGTTGGGTGAGTAGTAAACAGATATTCATAGAAAGATGGCTAATTGATTTTGCAATTTAGCTATAATTACCAAAGTCCCGATTAGTAATAAGTTAAAAGTATATTTTCAGATCCTTAAATTCGGAGAGAATTTGTGTACACAAAAATCTGTGCTATGCGATAACTGCAGCACAGTTAGTGTTTTTGATGGGTATCAAAGCAGTTCAAATTAAGGTGAGACTTACTAGTCCCGCTGAGGCGTTTGTCTCTCTCTCTCTCTCTCTCTCTCTCTCTCTCTCTCTCTCTATTTGACTGCATTAGTCTGCACATTTTTATATATCATTTCCTTAGAAGGAAGTAATTTCTGATGAAATTTGAATTCAAATTATATTTTAAGAACTGTCAATTTTGGACATAAAATATAATAATTATGTTGTAGAATTCTCATTCTTTTTTTTCTTTACAGATTATTTGTTCTATTATTGCGCTTTTATTGCACTATTTTTATTCCGCTGTATTTGTGTGGATGCTGGTTGAGGGGTTGCTTCTGTACAGTAAAGTTGTTCAGGTCTTTGGATCTGAAAAGTCCCGGATTGCATATTACTACGTTTTTGGTTGGGGTGAATAAACTTTCTAATTTTAAGACAGAATTATTTAGGGAGAAAAACTTTAGGAATTATTATTGCCTCTGAGAACAATGTAGCCAAATATCCTTAGAACATAGCTGAATTTTGAAGAAAAAGTAATAGTAGTCGTTGTTATATCCTTTATGATCTTCCATGAGTCATTGTAATATGGACCCTTTGATACGTTTTATTTATTGTCTATGATTTTTTAAATTAAAGTAATTCGCTGATGCTAAATTAACTATCTGAAGTGCTAGAATTCATTATATAGTATAAGTATTAGGTGTTAACAAAATGTGTTTGATTGTCTTATAATTTTCATTTGTTCAGGACTTCCTTTGATAATTCTTATCGTATCAGCCACAGCAAATTGGAAAGGATATGGAACAAAACAAAGGTAAATTTTGTTAATGATGTCATTCATGTTGCATATTTTCAAAGATTGTATTCAAGTTTAATCATGATTATGATGTTAATTTGATTTTCTGAGTAAAGTACTTTTTACACGTACTGCACCATGCATCATATAAATCTGTTGGTAAACAAAGACACCATGAATATATTCATTATGAAAGTACTTGAATGACCATGCACTTGATACTACATGTTCGCGCACTTTGTTGCATGAAACCTTTTCTGTAAATGTTATCTTTTTTTGGCGATTCGTATTCTCTTTCTTGATCACCTGATCAATCAGGTGACCTGTTGCTAAATGTTTTTGTCTGACGTCGTCCGCCGTGCTTCGTGTGTTAATATTTGAATATTTACAACTTCTTCTCTGAAACTGCTGAACCAATTTCAACCAGTGTTGGTATATAGCGTGTATGATTGAAGGGAAACAGCTTTCTTGAATTGCATGGTCTCTCTGTTCCTACGGGGCCTGAGGGATCGGGCTAAAATCATCAAAATGAAAACAATCTTTAAAAATATTCCTCTTAGCTCCTGGACATCAAGCAGTCTAACTGTTGGCATGATTCTAATAAATGTTGAGTCCTATACCAAAACTGTGAAATTCCTAACCTCAGGATCAGAGATCTTGGTGATAGACGGGGCTCTATCGATTATATACATGTAGTGAAAATGTATTACAAACTAAGAGCATGATTATGATGAGCTAGGATGCCTTTCCAGCATAAAAGAAACAAGGCCCTTGGGTCAGGGATCTGGTGTGAGGATGATGCTATATTGATCATACAGTGAAAAATGCATTAATTTCTTTGAAAAATCTTTTCTACTCCTTGATGTGAAGCAACAAAGTAAGTCATGGTTATGGTAGTGCCGCTCCAAAGGTTTTGGTATTGGGGTGGGGCTTTATTGATCGTATAGTGAAAATGCATTTTTTTTTTGTTTTTGAAAATCTTCTTTTCTGCTCCGAGGTATTAAGCAGACAAACTAAGTGTATAGTTATGAGGAGCTAGGGTATCTTTTCCAAAGAACTATATACGGTAAGGGCGTATTCCTGCCCCCATAATATTCAAATTTTGAAAATCTCTTGAAATGAGAAAAATGCATATATTGTATAAAATAATCCAAATTAAGACAATATATTATGAAATTGGAAAAATTAGTTGGCTTTTCTTGTCTCTGTGACGTCACAAACTATTTGGATTTCCGTTATTTTTAAAAAAGAGGCCAAAATGCACAGAGTTTGTTCAATTTTGGCTATAGTATTTATAGAGCGCAAGCTTGCTCAGGTACCATATTCACTTATTTCATTGATATTATCAATCTACACATTATATCAAAAGATCTAGTCTGAGCAGACCTGCGCTCGATAATTTCCAATCAAAAAATCGACGTAAAATACGCTATTTTCTCTCAAAATCATTGCAATTTGGAATTTACGTCATTTTATTGACGTCATATCTAACTAATGATGTCATAGTTGATAAAAATATTTAATGCTTTGAAGTCTGCAAATATCCACCTGGTTTAGAGCATAATTAAAGATTTCTCCATCAAAGTTTTATTTTGGGGGCAGATACTGGCCACTACAGAATATAGTCCTTTGTACAATTCATGGCCCTGGGTCAGGGATTCCGAAATTAGGACGAGACTTTATTCATAGTATAGATAAAATGCGTTAATTCTTTGAAAATCTTCTTTATTCTTCAGTATTTAGCAGTCAAACTAAGTGCATAGTTATGATGTGCAAGAGTGCCTCAATCTGGCAAAATTGTGAAATTCATTGCCCCTGAGTCAGGGCTTTGGATCGTGCTGGGTTTACTTTGCAAAAATAAGTTATCTGCTAAAGCACAATTGTCTTGTTACGTTTTGTGATAGAGTGTAGATAGCATTGGCAAATACAGGCAAATTTCTGATTGTTGCTGATTACAAGACTATTTTGTTGATCTCTGATCATCCCGTTTTTCTTGCTCTTAAGTTCCAGTTTATTTGTGTAATTCTATACATGCAATCGATCCTTTAAAGGGATGTATTAAACTCAAGCATTATTGTATAATTGATCCTTTACAGGGTTGCATTATACTCATGTGACCAGTAATCTTGGATCTCTTGTTGATTCTAGGGTTGTCAACGTCTCCAAATTTGCATTTTAATTAATTTGAAGTTCCCATTTCACCACGAAATATGAAGTTTAGGATTATACATGCTACGTTAACTGAACTGACATATGGTGAAAAAATAATTTATGTTTTGTGCATATTTGTACATACATATTTCATATGTAATTTATTCGAATGGCTTATCTAGTTGCTGGCTATCAATGTCGGATGGTACCGTTTGGGCCTTTGTTGGTCCAGCTGTGTCAGTCATTGTTGTAAGTCAATAGTATATTATATTATCCAAAATTGATCAATCCTAAATGAAACATTAATAATGCATCGTCAAAATATTGATATAAAAAAAATATTCTATTTAAAAATAATACTTGAAATTGAAACAGTAAAAGAAAGAATAAAAGATTGTTTGGCACTTGATTAAGAAAGATTACTAAATTAAACATGTATAAAATTTCGATTTCAGAAACATAGCTTATTGCGAGTATTTCTTATGTGATGTTTAATAAAGTAATTAATATGTAAATAAAATGATTTTTTTAGGTAAACATGGTAATTTTATGGATTGTAATCCGTATTATTGTACATCTTGAGAGATCTGATGAATATAGGCAGATCAGGTAATAAGTTTCTTTAGTTTTCTTAGTGCAATATATAATTTCATAAATTATCTATAGTTACAAGAGTTGAAGTTTTCTTCAATTAGTTGAAATTTTTAAGCATTTGATTTTTAGTTAGGATTTTCATTTAACTATACATGTAATAGTTTAGTTTAATTTATGTGACCCAAATTTTTAATGTTAAATTATCACTTTTATGAAATTCGAGCATGAACCATTAAAATGCTTGTTATAACTAAATCCTACTCACCAATTATACCAACGTGAATTTAAATACCACGAAACGTCTTAATAAAGAACACATATACATGTTTCACGAACATAATATCACAAACTATAATAATTAAATAATATATTTATAACTTACAAGTATACTCAAATAAGTGACCAGACTAAGAACTTAGTACAATCATGATTTGCAAAGTCTGTACATGAGTAATCTAGTGATATAATTCAGTATGCTAATGAATTTAAAAAAAAAAGAATTTTAAGATTTTCCTGTTACTCCCCACTAATTACTACTTAAACCTTGCACTTAATTACAAGAAAAAAAATCACTGAGTAATTTAGCATTTTCCCCAAAAATTTTAAATTATGATAAATATATATTAGCAAATATTAAATACATACCAATAAGATACAACACACTTCACAAGGATTAATCATAAAATTCTCAAATACACAGTACCATATGTTGCGATGATAATTTGTTTTTCTCAGGAATGTCTGTAATCAATTTGTCAATCTGAACGAAATCTGGGTGACATATTGTTATTGTCCCACTTAATGTTGTAAGAAAGAGTTCTAGCAGATTGCTCAGATAATCTTAATAAAACTTCTCAGTAATAATCAGCAAACGTAATTATGCATGTTACATTCAAAATAGCCGCCCTTGGGGAAGGTCAGGCCCCTAGACCATAAACCGAGAACAGACTTAAGTCAGATATTCAAACCAATATAACTTTTGAAATAATTTTGGTGAAACAAAATTTTTATCATATATTTGAATTTAAATGTTATATAAAAGTGTCAAATATTAAGCAAATACAAAACCTAAGATATTAAAAATCAAAATTTTGTCTTAAGGTATGTCACTCGTCAGCCTTTTAGAAAATTTCAGTCAGAACCTCTTACTTAAAAACTATTTATTACAATTCAATCTTTTTAACATATTTAAATTAAACAATGTAAAACGTTCAACACTCAATTAAAAAACTGCTCAAAAATTCATAAAGAAGCAAGATTTATAGGGGACTATTTCTTGTGGTGGAAGGATATTTAGCAGAAAATTCTGCAAATCTACACATTTATAAAAATTAATATCTTGGAACTTTAGCCTCACATACTTTTACTCAGAGAATATTTTCCGTTAATTATAATACGCCTGGAATATTAAATATAGGTCTCAATTTATATTTTTATAACAAAATTTACACCTTCGCTCAACAAACTTTGCCAAGAATTGAAGATATATTAAGGAAGTCGAGATAAAATTTACAGTTTTTTGCCAGAAAATCGCATATTTTGACCAATATTTCAAAATTTACATCACTGACCCCAACTTTTTCTTTCATTATTTTAAAGTACTCGATACTTTTGACCGATCAGCACTTAAGTCGTAAAAAGTTTGATACAAGAAATATTCTATTGCCTATTTAGATTTTTAATACCCCAAATATGAGACTTTTTTAGTGCAAAAAGGTCACACAATAATTTACGCGCATTAATTTGCATGATTTGTTCAATGATAAATATTATTCAAACTATTTTACTTAAAATAAGATTAAGTTTCTTGCCATGGTTACATCTGATAAAATATGATAACGGTTAAAGTGATTAACCAAAGAGTTACAATTTAAGTACAGAAAGGTCAACTTAATTGTACCATAGCTCAGTTTAATGCACACTGACCCCCCATTTTCTCTGTGATTTTGAGTCATACTATACGAGTACTTATCCAAAATATACTTCTCAAAAAATCCTTCATATAACAAATTTCACAAGTGACATACCTTAAGTCTATTCTCAGATTATGGTCTTAGGGCCAGTTCGATGATTTAGCTACTAACTGATTGCAATAGCAATGTTTCTAGTTTTATTTTTATGCCCCCGTATCGAAGATTCGGGGATATATAGTTTTTGCCCTGTCCGTTCGTCTGTCTGTTTGTCTGTCCGTCTGTCTAGCTGTTTGTTTATCTGTTTGTCCGCAAGAACTTTAACCTTGCCCATAACTTTTGATTGGTTCTAGCTATTGCTTTCATATTTCACATGTGTAATCCTTGTGACAAGACCTTTCTTTGGGTACCACCATATTTGACCTTTTGACCTTGGAGTTTGACCAAGTTTTGCAAAATTTTACCAAACTTTTACCTTGGCTATAACTTTTGAACAATTGGTGCTAGGGCTTTCATACTTCACATGTGTAATCCTTGTGACAAGACCTATCTTTGGAGTTTGACCTACTTTTGGAAAACTTTAACCTTGGCCATAACTTTTGAACGGTTGGTGCCAGGGCTTTCGTACTTCACATATGTAATCCTTGTGACAAGACCTTTCATAGGATACCACTTTGACCCTTTGACCTTGACCTAGGAGTTTGACCTACTTTTGGAAAACTTTAACCTTGGTCATAACTTTTGAACGACTGGTGCTTCGGCTTTCATATTTCACCTGTGTATTGACCATTTGACCTTGACCTTGATGTTTGACATATTTTTGAAAAACCTTTATCCTTTTCCATATCTATTCAATGGTTGCTGCTAGGGCTTTCATATTTCACAGGTTTATTCCTCGGGACAAGACCTTTCTTTGGGTACCAACATATTTGATTTGCATTTTAGAAAGTTTAACCGTTGCTTTAAGTTGCCATACGGGGGCATCGGTGTTTCACAAACACATCTTGTTTTTCTTGGTTTATCATAACATTTTCGTTTCAGGTCAAGTATCAAAGGCGCCATTTTCCTTCTTCCTCTCTTAGGTTTGACTTGGATATTTGGACTCATGGCTGTAAATGAAGATACAATCATTTTTCAGTATCTTTTTGCTATCTTTAATTCGCTACAGGTAAATACACTTTTGTTTTATATAAAAACAAAACAAAAAAAATTTTGTATAAAAAACAAATATATATATATATATATATATATATATATATATAGAGAGAGAGAGAGAGAGAGAGAGAGAGAGAGAGAGAGACATGCATATGTTTCATTTCTCAAACTAAATACCAAAGGCAAATGTAATTATATGCAGTAATTTCACCAAGGTAAATGCAAAAAAAAAAATGCTTCGGTTATGCTTTGACATTGTAAAATTAAATGAGGTAAACAGCTTTAAAAGAAATTCAAACAATGATTGCAGTTTTATATATCATTTTTTCTCTAGGGATTCTTCGTATTCTTATTCCACTGTGTCTGTAATTCAGAGGTAATCTTTAATTTTAAATATTATTGAGTTCAAAATATAAATAACAAAATATTTCCCTCGTTGTTCTTTAAACTGTGTTTTTGTAGCACGCTTCATGTCTGTTTAATCCTAGCTGTATTTCAAATTCAATTGTTGTTGACACATAAATTAAAAAAATTGTTGGTGTTGTGCAAAAGCTGATAAATGTGATATGATTTATATCTTTCATAAACAATTTAAAAATATCGTCAATAAAATTAGCCATTCAGAAAATAAATCCAATTTCCTCATAAAACTTTCCAACCGAGAATATAAAATGTTTAAGCTGATCAAATCAGTCTGTATTCTGGCGTTTTTGAGCATAGCCATTATTTCACTCTGTGCATTAACTATAATTTTAGCTCATTTAGGCCAAAGTTTCAAATAAGCATACTCTTTATTGAAATATGCCTGGCTTCACTGGATGTCACCCCGTCGCCTGTCGACTACAATCTTCTTCAATAATTGAGAAATTTCTTCTTGGCAAAAAGTGTCACTGGGTAAAGCGAATTTTAATTTATTTCATACAAAGATCATTTTTCAATTCATTGGTGGATAATAAAAATTGCAAAACTTACATGTAAGAATTATATAAAACATTTTTTTTTTATATAAAACCTTGTTTGAAATACCGAACCTAGGTCAATATTGGGTTTCATGAAGGGTTCAATACCTAGCATGATAAAATAAATGAAAAAAATTCTTGCTAAGAATGACGATTTATATCAGAAAATTAAAATGCGATGCCATTTTTCCCTGAGAGAGGAATGGAGTAAAAAGAAAACACTTTATGAATATCATTTTCAAGAACGACAATGTTACATCTTAAGTTTATTTGTTAATACCTTTACAAAGGCCAATTTCAAGTGTCACGAAGGATGGTCATGAACTGATTCCTAAAGTTGAGATTTTTTTCTTATAAGATATAAGAAAATTCCTATAGGGATGTTGTGCCAGTGAACACTTAAGTTTTCAGTGTCAACTGTCAAGTCTATGTGCATAACACTCATATATTGAATAAATTTACACTTTCTATTTTATTATAGTGTTTGTAAATTCCGGAGACAACTGTCACTTCTTTCAACTAACTTTCTTTAGGTTAGGCAGGCACTTCAGAGATTAAGAGAGAAACGCATTTTGTCAAAAGGAGAAGTAATCACCACTTCGGACATACCAACTCAGACTGTAAGTCGAATTTTTTGAAACACACCATTGTCAAAATCTGAGTTGGATAAATGTTAAAGATATGTCAGTTTAATTTTTAAAATAGGACGATCAAAGAAAAGGGAAAAGTTTTGCAGAAATCATGAATTTATCTTTAGAAATTGGGTACTCCTTGTCCCAGTAATACTTTGTATTGCTACATGTTCTTCATTATAAAACAATAAAATAAAAATTGATAAAGGTTCATGATAAATTCTACATATTTACTTTAAGAAAGAACATCCACTGAACTCATCTTTGTATGGGGGAGTGTTTTTGCATTATATATGGCAAATTGTTTGCAAATAACTGCAAAACTTGGCGATATGACGCAAAATATTTGCGAATAAAGAAGAAACATTTATAAATAAACACACGCTTTTGAAATATAAAGCGAATCTTAATTTTTCGATCAAAATCGAAGTATTAGTGATATATTCCGAAACATGTAGTGTGTTGACATACAACTTATTAATCAAGAAGTTACATGTTTATGCAACTTTTTATGTTCGATTTCTCTATTATTTTATAACATGCATGTATAATAAATGAATTACTATATGATTGAATAATTCTTTGGTCTCTGATTGGCTCGAATCAAATTTTGTAGAAATCATACTAAGCTATGTTCGCCCTGCACGAGACCTGCCAGGTGAACATAACATTTCATTTAGATCAAGAACTTCCAAACTGATAAAGTAGTTATGGAAAGTTATATTCAGCAGCACCCTAATAACCTTCTAGCTGAACATAACATTTAATTTTCTACATTGGACCAAACTTCTGAATTGATACAATTGGTGGTGAAAAGAAATAATACGTTCGACCAAACTTCTGAACTGATACTATTGGTTGTGAAAAGTAATTTCACCCGACTTCTGGATGAACATACCATAAACATTCTCGAAATATAAGGTGTGACAGACGGACGGACGGACGGCATGTTTACATGTTGGTATTCATATCTTGGTTGGCAGTACGAAATGGTTTACCAATGATACCTTCCGCGTTTAAAATTATGTCGCAAAGATTAGACATTGAAGTTTTCTGCCACAAAAATGAGCTCAGTAGGTTTTAGTAAATATGGTATTTTGTATTATATCAAAAATGATTTTAAGAGCAAGATTGCAGTCTGTTCTTTTTCAAATATTATGACTGAAGAAAGAACTGAAAATTAAATGATAGACAAGAACCCGATATTCTGTTGTATTCTTTTGATACTTTGTTTATTTACTTTTGGATAAAACAGCATTTTTATGTTTGATTTGATAGGATGCGTCAGTTTCAAAGGAAGGAAATATCCCAAGACAAAACTCTAGACCAGTCAAACATTACAAAACATATCCACGTGTTCAAGTGACTTCATTAACGCACGTGAATAGCAGAGAAGGCATTGAAGCAGAAGGTAAATTTAAGAATATTTTAATAATAATCAATAACTACTCTACCATGATTAATTTAACATGAGTCCATAACATTGTTAATACAGACCTATTAGTTAATCTGACTTAAAGTTGCAAATTCCGCGTGTTATGTGAAACAAATCTTATTAGAAAATCTAATCCATATACAAAACATTAATTAATTATCTACAATAACTTAAACAATATTATAGCTGACGTTTTAAACGTTTAAAAAAGGTTCTTTAAAAAATATTTGTTTCGAGCTATAATTTTTTTGATGAGAAATGGTGTTTTTTATTATAAAAGATGATAAGCTGTTCATTATCAGTGTGAAGCTACATGTATGTAAGCAAGCTTTAAAGATGCAATTTTATGATTTTAGTTTGAAATCTCTCAATGACAGCAAAGTGTTTCGTTTTCCGATATTGACTTGTTCTCGAATGCAAAATCTATTTCAAATGAATAGTTAATGCGATAGCTTTGATAAAAAATACAAACATGGGTTACATAATGATTGAGACGGTTTGCAAGACAGATGGCAAAATATGAATAATGTATATAATAATTGATAAAGAGAAAAGTGATCAAGTGTTTACCTACTCACGAGTCCTTGTCAAATAAAGTGTCAAATATCTATTGAGTATATGCATTTACTCTGATAGAAGCGACGAAGTGATTCGCCAGGGAACAATAACAATAGATACGAGAACTATACTTTTACCTAATAATAAAAAGGGAAAAGATGCCATTTTGCACTCTCTTTAGACATTGCCCAAGTTTTAATGGTAATCGCGGATATTTCTGATTATGCATATTTATATGTTTACACAATGAAGTTAATAAAAAAAAACATCTGAGAATATCAATATTTTGACTGGTATACATAAGATGCATATAAATATTTTTAAGGGCATTTATTTTCAATTATCAGCGACCATTTCTAAAGCATTAAATGAAGTTATAAACAATTCTAATGATGAACGTAGTTTTCCCTTTTTGTGTTGATGGAACGATTGTATGTTGTTTAACGTCGAATTTTCGAGTTTTTCACTCAAATAGAGTCTTCACATTATACCAGTGAAGGGCTTCAAAATTAGACCTTTACTCGGCACCCAGGGCCATCGAGCAGTGAGGGTTCTCTATCGCGCCAAAGCCTACCGTGACAGAGAACATCGGTTTTTAGAGTCTCATCCGAAAGACCCGCAATTTTAACTTCAAAGTGCCGAGCGCTTGGGGAAAGAAAAGTTGCTACCTTTTCTATAGACTAGGTCTTTCGCGGCCGGGGCTTGGACCCAAATTTTCCGATCACGGGACGAGAGCTCTATTGGCAGAACTACGTGACATGTATCTTGTATTGATAATCACATACATATATGTGAAAGAAAAATCTTTATTTGGTACGCGTGCTCCTGAAGCAATCGTCCGCTTGCATAAGGTACTTAATTTGGAATAAAAACTGCTAATTGATGGAACGATATCAATGTAATGTCTTGCTTTTTTGTAGAAAACATTTCTTCATAGGGGAAGGACTATGTACAAAGAATTTGCTTTAAAATAGGACGCTTTATTTTTATGATATATGATTTTTTTTCGTTTATTGTAGTCTTATTCAATCGTATATGATGTTTATTATTTTTTTCTCTTCTTTATAATTAAATTTTAAAACATCTGACAGAGTAGTGAAAAAAAATGTCGTTTTAATATTTTGATACGAACACTAATGATGAATGTCCAAAATCGAATGAATACGTTCAAGCCAACATATGACTTTACATGTATATGTCAAATAAAATGTTCCTGATTGATACATTATTGCATTTGAAAGCGCTAATGATATAATTGAATCATTATAGTACAAATTTCGACTTTTGCATTTCTCTTACCTAACAGAAACAATTACTGTTTTGCAGGTGGCATGAAACTTGAAGACGTTGACCGTGATAACGAGCTCGTTTTCATTTGAGGGAAGCTGAAAGTTTTTATGTTAATGAGGAAAACAATGTTTTCAGTCGGGGATCTGAAAATCAGATTAAATTTCCATCGATTAGGCAAACTATATATATTTAATATTGTTATGTTGTAACAGATAACTAAAGATTTTTGTGATAGAAATGAAAATTGAATATTTCAAATAAAGCATCTGCAGATGAACACTATTTATTTCAGAATCCAACTTGATGTATAATATTAAATTAATCACTTTTTGATTTATTTCTGTTTCACAACTGAGAAATAAAACTAGAAAGAATATGAATTCATCAGATTATTATAATATTGTAATTACCGTAGAGCACATCAAAAAAGTTTTTCTTTAACAATTTGTATTGTGAAAGATATTTGAATAGATAAACATTGGTAAAACAAGATGTGTTTGTGAAACACTGATGCCCCCGTATGGCAGCTTATGGCGAAGGTTAAAGTTTCTCAAATGCAAGTCAAAATCCAGGCCAAAAGATAAAAAATGTTGATACCCAAAGAAAGGCTTTGTCTCGAGGAATATACCTGTGAAATTTGAAAGACCTAGCTGCAACTGTTCAAAAGTTATGGCGAAGGTTAAAGTTTTTAAATAAAAGTCAAACGTCAAGATCAAGGTCAAAGTGGTTGGTATCCAAAGGAAGATCTTGTCGCAAGGATTACATATGTGAAGTATGAAAGCCCTAGCACCAACCAAACTCCTATGTCAAGGTCAAAAGGTCAAAGTTGTTGGTATCCAAAGGAAGGTCTTGTCATAAGAATTACATATGTGAAGTATGAAAGCCCTAGCACCAACCATTCAAAAGTTATGGCGAAGGTTAAAGTTTTTCAAAAGTAGGTCAAACTCCTAGGTCAAGGTCAAAAGGTCAAAGTGGTTGGTATCCAAAGGAAGGTCTTGTCATAAGGATTACATATGTGAAGTATGAAACCCTAAGCACCAACTCTTCAGAAGTTATGGCGAAGGTTAAAGTTTTTCAAAAGTAGGTCAAACTCCAGGTCAAGGTCAAAGTTGTTGGTATCCAAAGGAAGGCCTTGTCAAAAAAAAAAAATACACATGTGAAGTTTGAAACCCCAAGCACCAACCGTTCAGAAGTTATGGCCAAGGTTAAAGTCTCATAAAATTTTGCAAAAGTGGGTTAAACTCCAAGGTCAAGGTCAAAAGGTCAAATATGATAGTACCCAAAGAAAGGTCTTGTCACAAGGAATACACATGTGAAATATGAAAGTCATAGCTCCAACCAATCAAAAGTTATGGGCAAGGTTAAAGTTGACAACAGACAAACAGACAGACAGGACAAAAACAATATACCCCCGGGATCTTTCGATCCGGGGGCATAATAAAAAAGAGCATTGTGAAAAGCAATGATGTGACATTTTTTCATTATTTAGTTTTTTTTCGACTTAGAGTTTGATTACATGTACTATTTCTCCCTATCTTAGTTGATTGAAGGTACAAACGCGATTTTTCAGTAATCACGAAGGTCATTTTTCTAAAATAAAAACAAGAGGTGTTTGTGAAACACTGATGCCCCTGTATGGCAGCTTACGGCGAAGGTTAAAGTTTTTCAAGTCTAAATCCAGGCCAAAAGATAAAAAATGTTGGTACCCAAAGAAAGGCTTTGTCTCGAGGAATATATCTGTGAAATTTGAAAGACCTAGCTGCAACTGTTCAAAAGTTATGGCGAAGGTTAAAGTTTTTTAAAAGTGAGTAAAACATCAAGGTCAAGGTCAAAGTTGTTGTATCCAAAGGAAGGACTTATCACAAGGATTACATATGTGAAGTATGAAAGCCCTAGCACCAACCATTCATAAGTTATGACCAAGGTTAAAGTTTTTCAAAAGTAGGTCAAACTCCTAGGTCAAGGTCAAAAGGTCGAAGTGGTTGGTATCCTAAAAAAAGGTCTTGTCACAAGGATTACATAAGTGAAGAATGAAAGCCCTAGCACCAACCATTCAAAAGTTATGGCGAAGGTTAAAGTTTTTCAAATGTAGGTCAAACACCTAGGTCAAGGTCAAAGGGTCAAAGAGGTTGATATACAGAGGAAGGTCTTGCCACAAGGAATACACATGTGAACTTTGAAACCCCAAGCACCAATTGTTCAAAAGTTATGGCCAAGGTTAAAGTTTTCCAAAATTAAATCAAACTCCTAGGTCAAGGTCAAAAGGTCAAAGTGGTTGGTATCCTAAAAAAGATCTTGTCACAAGGATTACATAAGTGAAGTATGAAAGCCCTAGCTCCAACCATTCAAAAGTTATGGCCAAGGTTAAAGTATTTCAAATGTAGGTCAAACTCCTAGGTCAAGGTCAAAAGGTCAAAGTTGTTGGTATCCAAAGGAAGGCCTTGTCACAAAGAATACACATGAGAAGTTTGAAACCCCAAGCACCAACCGTTCAGAAGTTATGGCCAAGGTTAAAGTCTCATAAAATTTTGCAAAAGTGGGTTAAACTCCAAGGTCAAGGTCAAAAGGTCAAATATGATAGTACCCAAAGAAAGGTCTTGTCACAAGGAATACACATGTGAAATATAAAAGTCATAGCTCCAACCAATCAAAAGTTATGGGCAAGGTTAAAGTTGACAACAGACAGACAGACAAACGGACAAACAGACAGACAGGACAAAAACAATATACCCCCAGGATCTTTCGATCCGGGGGCATAATAAACATTCATGTTAAACGAAGACTGGGATACCTATGCAATGTGTTTAACGGGTAGTTGAAAGCAAACCATTCAGCAGCATCTCTGTTATATTTAATCTCGTGCAATAATTATTGTTCTTGTTATGTACAGGTAAGTTAGCAAGATGACCTTTTCTTGTGTTAAAGTGGGTCCAAAGTCTCTGATATGAAACTTTTATATAATATTTGAACCTATATGTATAGAAGAATACAAAGTAAAATGCATAATATTAGATATGCGCAGAGGGCCTAAAGGGTCGCATTGATTTTTTTCTCTTGAAAATATGTAACATAAATATTAGCAATTAACACATAAAAATTGCCTGATAATTTCTAGGACTTCGGTCTTTTCACCCTTTTTCTGGATGCATGTCATTGAATACAATTTTAATTATTCATAAAAAAAATCAATGTCGAATAAACAGGTATTATTTTCAGATATTAAAAAATCAATTCAACGTTAAATTCGTTGTGTTTTCCATGAAAGTCAATCTTCTGAAACGCTGCAGTGAGTAAGATTTCGAAAAAGGTCGGTTTACAAGTTATATGAACATATTATTTGACAAAAAACAAATTATTCATTTTCATTGCAAATTCGATAATTCTGAAAATTTATTTTATTTCTATGAACTTGTACCAAATTCTTGTTCTCTTTTAAAACCATATGAACACAGTTATGTTGAATCCTAAATTTATGTAAAAATTCTTTACCCAATAGTTTAATTGTCAAAATATATCAAAACAAATTATAAAAGTAAGGACAACGTTCCATAATAAACAATCCATGTTGTTTAACTTTCTGACACTAAAAAATAAACGAAGGGTGCGTTCTCATAAAAAAAAATACATTAACTGGTGGGGAACTTATCCCCGTTTTCTCTCTATTTTAAAATTTTGGAAAATATTGAAAAATCAAGATAATATTTTGCTTTTGGCAAACAATAGACGAAATTGTTTATTCTTATGTCCTTTATAGAATATGTTTTTGAAATGACTGTAAAAAATATTACAAGTATATTTTGTATGACAAACTTCATGAGTAGAAGAATATAAATCCTGTCTTAATGTAGTAAAGGCAAACACTTGCTAATAATATTTGTCGTTATGGTGTGTACAAGATTCTTCCTTGCACCGACTGTTACATTATTTAATTTGGAAAGTGTGTGCTTTTGTGATAATTTGGAAGAACTTGCAATAATTGAAATGGGGGAAACCAGGCATATCTCGCCGATTGTCAATTTAGAGAAAAAGCCAGGGATTTTTAGCTAATTCCCCTAACATGAAAAAGATGTATTAAAAAATCTCTTCTTCCAAATTATATTATTATCGTCTTTTTTGCTAGAGCAAAACAATGAATTTTGATAAAGATAGGGTGTTTTTTTTTACTACTTAATGAAAACCAAAAAAATCAGGAAGGCCGTTAATAATGCTTTTACACAAATCCATTTTATGCCTTCTCCTAAATTAACCAGAAAACATATCGAACTCTTTTAGTATAATGATGTGATGTAAATAAAAATTATTAAAAACAACTACATATATTACATATAGACCACCCTCTTGTTCACAGTTTCCATTTTATTCCAGCTTTTTCTGATGGCCTCGGCAATGGCATAATTATTAAATGTGGAGTAGAATACATTCTACACAATATGTTTATTCTATGCATCAGTAAAAGACAAACATTGATTTTATCTTCCAAGGTTTTTGTCGTTGATAGGAAATTTATGGATCATTCAACGTATCGAATTAAATCTTCATTGTCTTGAAACACAATGCAAAAATACATGAACGTATTCTTTATGCTTTTTCAAAAGTAATTTGTAAGATAATGATACAATAAACAAACTATATTATAGTACATTAAATGAGCATAAATAGGGTATTCTATTTCTGGTTGTTCCCGCACTTTTCATTCTTTATTACATTAGTATTATATGGCTCTCAGAAATAACTGTGTACAGTTTGTTTGAAGGGTAATGATCAAGGTATGTAAACTTCGGTGACTTTCCTTGATTTTCGTTAACGTGACATCATTTAACATGTCTTTTAGAACTACAGTTACATTATATATTAAATAAAAGACTTGGTCTTTAAAGAGACACTTTGACGCAAAAAAAACAAAACAAAACAAAACAAAAAAAAAAAAAAAAACAAAAACAAAATTAAAATAACTTTAATATACTTGAACCCGATGTTCCAATGTTCTTCACTTATTTAGGGTATAAGATGCCATATAATGGCAAGTTTCACAACCTAAAATGAAGACGATGTTTTTTTATACAAAAAAACCCCTGGTTCCCAGAACTCCTTTTACATTTTACAAAGTAGCCTATTCATTGGTTGATGGTGTCCTACAGATGTGCAAAATAGGTTTCGGAATTTTCATTTTCACCCTAGTGGTCAAATGGGGGTTGAAAAATGACTTCTTTTAAAAAAAAAAAAATACCAAA